CATTGGCCATTAGTGATTGACTCGGCCTTCATCCTCCTTCCCTTCCCCAGACCTCAGGGGTGGGACTAAAAGCTCCAACTTGGGATCACGGAGTTGGTTCCCCTGGCAACCAGCCTGCACACTGAGGCTATCCAGCAGGAAAAGGGACAGAAGCCAAAGAGACACTGAATTCCTTTTCTTTTCTTTCTTTACTCCTCCCCCCCACCCCCCACCTGCTGGGGATCAAACCTAGGGCCTTGGACTCTCTCTGAGCCACGACCCCAGCCCTTGTACTACGTTTCTTGATATGTCACAGTCCACAGTCCTTAAGCAAAAAGATGGTAACTCAAAAGGTGCTGGCATGTGACTGCAGTCCCCTTCCGTCATTAATAACTGACGCATCAGCGTATCCTAATCAAAGGGACACTGCTAGGTGGAGGGACAGTCAGCTCCATGGATGATGGCCAAGACGTTCTTCAAAGTGCTTACCCCAATGGACACTCTCAATGCCTCTTCAATCTCAGACTGTCCTTCTGAGCTCTTGGAAAAATGTATTATTTATTGGACCCTTTTCTACCCTTTGTTTTACATTCTTCCTTTTCCCTTCTTTTTCTCTTTCCGGGATTCTTTTGAGATAGGTGTCGTACCTTGTGCATCAATCCTCTGTATCTCTTATTGCTTTTCTCCCCTTTTTCTCTGGGTTCTCTGAGTCCCTAAATGTTTTGGCCCAACCCATGTGGATTATTTTCTATTTTGTGAACCATGACTTGGGGATTGCTGCTGTGGTTAAGCTCACCCGGCTCATTGTCTGTCACATGGTGTTCTTGTTCTGAAATCTCTCTGAGGAGACGGATCAAAGCTTTATTCCTTCATATTCTTTGTTTTATATCCTGTGCTTTCTTTTTTTTTTTAAAGAGAGAGTGAGAGAGGAGAGAGAGAGAGAGAGAGACAGAATTTTTAATATTTATTTTATTTAGTTCTCGGCGGACACAACATCTTTGTTGGTATGTGGTACTGAGGATCGAACCCGGGCCGCACGCATGCCAGGCGAGCGCGCTACCGCTTGAGCCACATCCCCAGCCCCATATCCTGTGCTTTCTGAGTTCTGTTTTCTCCAGGGGCACGGTTTGGTCTTTTTCACTCTCTTTTTAGGATCCTGGGTGCTTTCTCACATGGCACAAGTTTTTCCTAATCTCTGGCCAACCTTGATGTCCTTAGTGCTCAAGAATGAGGAAGTAGCTGAGGATGGTGGCTTGTGCGTGTAGTTCCAGCTATTTGGGAGGCTGAGGCAGGAGGATTGCTTGAACTAATGAGTTTAAGAGCAGCCTGGGCTACGTTGTGAGACCCTGTCATTACTCTGTACCTGGCTGGATTCCTTATACTTCTATGCATGGGGTAGGAGTCTCGCTGGTCAGGGATGTAAGGTCTCTTGAGACATGGAAGACCTCTACTTGAGCTTTCTAGGTCCTTGATCACATTGCAGGAAATAATTTTGCAGGCGGGGGCGGGGGGGGGTGGTTACTGAGGATCGAACCCAGGTATACTTAACCACTGAGCCACATTCTCAGCCCTTTTTAAATTTTGAGATAGGATCTTGTCAAGTTGCTTAGGGCCTCGCTAAATTGCTGAACTTTAAGTGGCTTTGAATTTACAATCCTCCTGTCTTGGCCTCCCTAGTCGCTGGGGTTATAAGCATGTGCCACTTCACCCAGCTTCAGACAAAAGAATTGAAGGACTGTCAGAGTGTCAGTGATAGGGGAAAGTCCCTCCTACCCCCAGCGCTAGGGACGGAACCCAGGAGTGCTCTACCACTGAACCACATCTCCAAACTTTTTTATCTTTTTATTTTGAGACAGTCAAAGTGTAAGTTGCTGAACCTGGGCTTGAATTTACAATCCTCCGGCCTCCCCTAAGAAGTAGCTGGGATCACAGATGTGGGTCACCACACCCAGCTGAGAAAAAGTGTTCTTGTATACACTCAAGAGCTGAATGTGGGTGTGTTTGAGGATAGAGCTATACCCACCGACACACAGGCAGCCTGCTTCTTATTGGTCTTGGTATTCTTGGGGTGCGGGGGGGCGATGAATATTCATAGGATTTCCTAGAATTGGGAGGTATTTTGGGGAATTTTGTGCATGCATGCCCTCATTCTTTTGACACCTGTGCAGGGTAATTTTTTTTTTCCTCCTGTGTACTCTGAGAATACTCTAAATGTATAAGCGGCTCTTAGGTGCTTCTAGCATTGGGGTTACTCTAGGTCAAACAGGATTTTTCTATATCTGCCCTCAAGTGTGGTTGCTACGTCAGGGACAGGGGCCACCGCCTTGTGGTTAGGAAGGACACTGCTTTGTCCAATCAGATGCTAGGAGGATATCTGTGTGTTATGGTTTGGATCTGGATCACGCGCCAAAAGCTCAGTATGGAAAGCAGCCAAGTTCAGAGGTGGGGCCTTCAGACAATGATTGGATCATGAGGGCTCTGACCTCGTCAGTGGAATTATCCATTTGATGGGGTCATCAGATTGATTCACCTATTGACAGCTGGATGGGCTCCTGGGAGTGAGAACTAGTTGGAGAAGTAGGTCACTGACCGTGTGCCCTGGAAGGCTCTCATCCTCTCCTCAGTCCTTTCCTGTGCCTTCTTCTCTGCTTTCCTGCTGCCTGGAGCTGGGCAGTTTTCCTTGGCCACTCCCTTCTGCCGTGATGCCCTGCCTCACCGCGGGCTCAGGGTAATGGAGTCTGCTGACTTACGGACCCAAACCTGTGACTCTGTGAGCAAAACAACAACAACAACAACAACAACAACAACAACAAAACCCCCAAATCCCCAAACCTTTCTTCTTCTAAGTTGTCCTTCTCAGTTATTTTGGTGACAGTGATAAAAAGCTGGCTAACACACTGTGACCAGGCATATGTCACCTGCAGGAGCTGCCCGGCTGCACCTGCTTCTCTTGCCCCCTGACTCAAGATCAGGGCGTATTCTGCACACAGATGGGTTTCAGCCCATTCATTTCTCCTTCCACGGCTGCCCCTCTCCCCACCTGGAACCTGGCATCCATGGTGCTGCAACCTCTGCTGCCAGTCAGGTGGTGGTTTCCTCTGGGCCGTGGTTTTTTTTGCTATTTCTTCCTTCAACATTCTTTCCTGTGCATCACCCAATTCCAGCAACAAGCGGTTATCAGCCCCCCACGGATGCCCATCAGCATCCCTCTTGTTCCATATTCGTGGTTATTTATACCTATTCTGACCCCTTCATCCCTTAGGCTGGAACCTAAGGGCGGGGGGCGGGGGCTCACTGCTCACAGCAAAGCAGACCCAAGACTCAGCGAAATGATGGGACTCGGCAGGGAAACAGGTTGTGACGCAAGTGTTCTGAGGGAGACATTTAATATATTGAATTGTCTGGACATCTGATCTCATCTGCAAACAAATCCATGATCCAGTTGCTAAGACACTGCCTCCTCGCAGGCTCTGTGAGTGCCTTTGCTGCTGCTGTGTGGCGCTGAATCCGTCTGGTGGCAGCTCTGACCTCAGGCTTTGGATCAATGTGTGGAATCTCTGCCTATTTTCGAAACCAGCTTCTGAGGTGGTGGCACTATGGCGTTGATCTTCAGGGCTCATGGGAGTCGGTGCTGTGATAGCCGGGGACATGCTGGTGCAGCTGGGTGACCTGGCTACCCACACTGCACCTGCCTGGATTCCAGGCTGCTGTTCACCACCAGCCAACTTTTCTGTTTCACTAAGTGATCAGATTTAGTGGCTTCAGATGAAAACCATCATTTTATTTGTGCAATGTTCTATAGGTCAGGAGTTGGGCCAGGGTCCAGTTGGGTAGCTCTGTTCCCTGTGGTGTCATTGGGCAGACGTGCTATGGGGCCAGGACCCTGGTGGCTGGTACATCCAACATGATTCCCCTTCACATCCCTGACCTCAGAGAGAAGTATGAAAGCAGCCGGAGGTTAGCTGCAGATCTCTCCGTCTCTAGGTGGCCTCTTTCTCAGGGAAGCTGGGTCTCACTTGATAAGAGTGCGCTCCTACCAGAGAGAAGTGATCAGCAGTAAAGAATGCAGAGGCAGGAGGCAGGCGGAGCAGGTCCCCTGTGGCCAGTCTGGGCATGCTCTTGGTCAAAGCCTGTCTTGGGGCCATTCAGAGGCAAAGGGAAAGAAATCCACTCCACCTCACCATGGAGGAGGGGTGAGGTCACACTCTAGGACAGCCCAGTGGCAGACGCTGCTGGAGCCTTCTTTGGAAACACCATCTACTGCCTTTGACCCCAATGCTGACCTTTCCCTGGGGGCAGCCCCTGTCCTTGTGTGCTCCGTGACCAGCAGATGGGCCTGTTATGCTGGCTATCTTATTTATTTCCCCAGGTGATTTAGTCCAAGATGAGGAAGGGGGGCATATCTCATGCTGAGACTGTACAAACACCTTTCAAGTCAAACCCAAAAGCTAACGTCAGTTTTGCTCTCCTTAATAAGAGGGAAAAACCCCCATGGAACATGTGCAAATAGTTTTTGAAATAAATAGTGTGCAATTGGGCATCTGTTCTCCCAGACTGTGAGTATCAAGGACTGCAGAAACGAGATGGGTGCCCGGGAAACCGTGTTGCTTATAATGGCCAGAGGGGTTCATTCCCTCGCCCGTCTCTCTTCCCTCCAAAGCTCAGAGAAACACAGAAAATAAATCAGTTGATTTTCCATATAAAATGACAAGAGACAAGTGCAATGGCTTGGGAGCCAGCAGGGCGGTGGGGAGACTCTCCACGGTGAGGAGGAGAAGCCCAGGGAAAGGCCCCGGCTCTTTGGGTGAAGTTCTAGACGGAATAACTCCCATTTCCACCCTCTTACTTTAGTTATGGCAATAGTCAGCTTTCTTTATTAAAAAAAAAGTGTCAGATAGCAAAGCCTACAATAAATGATTTAGATGGTTGTTCTTTCTTTTTTTTTTAAAGATATTAATTCTTTTAAAATATTTATTTAATTTTTTAAATTGTAGTTGGACGCCATACCTTTATTTATTTTCATGTGGTGCTGAGAATCGAACCCAGGGCCTCGCACGTGCTAGGCGAGCGCTCTACCACTGAGCCACAACCCCAGCCCCATGGTCGTTCTTTCTATAGAGAAAGATCATCCCTTTGCTGTATCAATCCAGGAAGCTATTAGCATCTGGGAATATTTTCCTTTTTTTGGAGGGGTGCTAGGGATGCTCCTAGGGCTTCATGCATATTAGGCAAGGGCTCTGCCCCTGAGTGAATACCCCAGCCCTAGCATGTGGGGACTTATTTTCTTGTAGAAAAGTCATAAGCTCTACAAATTTCTTGTACAAATTAAGATTAAATAATGGGCTGGGGATGTGGCTCAAGTGGTAGTGTGCTCGCCTGGCATGCGTGCAGCCCGGGTTTGATCCTCAGCACCACATACAAACAAAGATGTTGTGTCCGCTGAAAGCTAGAAAATAAATATTAAAAAAATTTCTCTCTCTCTCTCTCTCTTTAACTCTCTCTTAAAAAAAAAAGATTAAATAATGACAAGTTTGAAATGCTGTAGACATTCTTCTTGGCAAGACCTGGGACCACAGAGTTTGATAGCCGTAGGTTTATACAAGGCTTTTGGTAAAAGCCATAGATTTTTCAGCTTTTTACAGATTTTCTAGGTAGAAAGCCAAACCCATGGCAATTCAAAAGGAGGCGGGTGCTAGTCACAACAAGTAAAATCTCTTAGATTATTTAGACACAAACTAAGGCATGTGTGCTGTTTTTCCTACTAGGTGAAGTTACTGATTACACTGTGAGACATGTTTACATGGGGTTTCTGGAATTCAGTGGCCTCTCCTCTAGCAATTACCAGCTACTCCAGTAATTACCAAACATGTTTGGCACTGTTGGAACTTCATGTTCCAACTAGGTCTCATCAAACAGCCCCTATCACAAAACAAATACACACCAAAAAAATCTTAAATAGAATCTGAACCAAAGGAGAAAGAATTAGAATTTCCATGTCTGTAGAGGTTGTACCTTAAAATAAAAAAAACAATTGTCTCTGCATAAAAATTTGCCATTGTATCCAGGCTAGGTTGGCACACCCCCACAATCCCAGTGATTCTAAAGGCTGAAGGCAAGAGGATTGCAAGTTAGAGGCCAGCCTCAGCAACTTAGCATGACCCTCAGCAACTTAGAGAGACCCTGTCTTAGAAAATAAGAAAGGGGATGTAGCTCCATGGTAAAGTGCCTCTGGTCAATCCCTAGTACCAAAACATAGTGGGGTGGGTGGGGATGGGAATGTGCCTCAGTGGGGGCCCCCAGCAACACACACACAC